GAAATAGATTGATATACAATTCTGCTATCAGTGACTTTGTCAGTGACTCTGTCAGTGATTTTGATAATGACTTCTTTTTCAGAGCATTTTATAAGTGTTGACAGAGATCTGTGTAAGATTCATAGTCTTACAAATATCATCTTCATGGATTCTATCATTGTTAGAGAATATTAAGCTTCTGTTTTAAGCATTTAACAAGATGTCTTATTCAGATAGTCAGGTAAGTTCTAGTATGAGATTATAGTCAAGATTCTCAACTTCATATATATAGACATCTTCATATTAATGTTCTTCAATATCTATATTTAGTTTCATCATGTAATGAGTGTGAATGTCTTTTAAGTCATTAAATTCTGTGAGAAGTTGAGATCTTGATAAGAAAATACACTGGAGGTTATAATGTCTTATGATTGAAGATTTAATCATTGCATAATAGCATAGATTGCTGTCTATCATGGCTTTTATATTATACATGTTATCTATCACAGTAGATACAAGAATTGTATTTATTATCATTTTCTCTTCAAATTATCATCATCTGACCTCTTCAAGCTTCTGCTTGTGAATTTGAATAGAAGCTAATCTTTTCCCTGTTTTATCAGAGCATTTTCATAGTTATCTTTCAAATTCTTCTCTAATGTAATGTGGTTGATGTGAACAGGCACTGATTCATTCTTTGAACAAGAAGGCATGTAGACTAATTGACAGTTAAAAGCAATATACTCTGATCAGTTACAGTTAATGCATACTTCTTGTTGATGTTGATTAATGACTTCTTCAGAAGTGATCTCAGAGACTCAGAAGCCTGTTCAGATGATGAAGACTCTTGCTTATATGTAGACATTCAAGTCTACTCAATTCATGACATCTGCATTATTGTTATTCTTCAGTGTGAGTGTATGAGTGACTGAGATGTAACATCTTCTGCCACTCTGTATACTCTTGAGCTTGATAAGATGATCATTCAATGTCTGAAGCTGTATGTAGAAGCCTTCATAAGTTGAGTCTTCATTTATACTTATAAGAGTCTGTAAAAGTTTAAAAGTTAATATCTTCTTGAGTATACTAATCTTCATTCAATTCTCTCAAGATTGATCACCTGCTTCTAAGATTTTAATATCAAAGTCAGGGATGAATGTTGTAAGAGAAGTATTTCTCTGTCAGATGCTCTGTAATCAATCTAACACTTTCTGTTGTATGACAGTGTCTTGAAACAGAATATTAAGATGTTTGATAATGTTGTCAGATATTCTCAATACTGATTTGCATGCTTTCATTCATGAATGAAACTTCTGTTTCACATAATTCTTCAATTGTTAATTGATATATCAACCTTGATTGATTAGTGAATTGATAACATCTTCATTCAAACTCAGTTTCACAAGTATTTCCATTCTTTATGATGAGTAGAGAGTGAGATCAGAAGTATTGAAATATACAGAGATATCTAAGCATTCTTTCAGTGCTTTTGTAGATGCTGAAGTTGCATGAATTAATTATTAAATTTCTTTATATTGAAGCTGTTGAGTGATATGCATGTCAGCTATCTGTTGTTATTATAGTTCTAACATTGCTTAGAGTCACTGTGATATCATGTCTATACTCGCGCTCAAGAGTTCTCTCATATTATTATTAGACATGATTATATCATTTGTTGAATATATAATATCTGTGAAATCTGAAGAAGTGTAATTATATGAATATCTCATATATCTGAGTATCGGAACTCTCAGATCTTTCACTGATATTCTCTTGTAAAATCTTATTACAGAGTCAGAGTAACTGATGAGCGAGCTTGGATCTAAGAACTTAATATCTGATTAACTGTTTCTCTTTCTTATGTGTTATTATGTGTTCAGATATCTCTTGATGAATAATCATTTCTAATGAGAAGATAATATGTGAATAATCATTTCTAATAAGAAGATGATGAATGTTTTTCTAGTATAAGAAGTCTACACTGAATAGATCAGTATAATATATAGATCTTATATAATAAAGAGAAAAATGTTAGAGAAGAAAAGAAAGAGAAAGTGTGAAAATCAGTGATTGAAGTGAATATTTATATGTGTATGTGATGATGTATGCAGTGGAACTTCAGGGCGGAAGAATAGGAGTTTTTATACGCGGTGAAGCTTCAGAGTGAAAGAATAGAATTTCTGTAGATTTTCAGCTGAGAATCAGTAACTGAGAATTGAAGCAGTAGAAATCTGTGAAGTGTAATGAAATAGTCTATATGATTGATCGGGCGCAGCTCTTCACACAAGGTGACTATATATAAAATCTCAAAATGAAATCATGACTTGAAAAAAATGAGAAAGTGATTTCATTTGATTTCATTTAGTCTCATTCTTGATATAAAGTTACTATTTTTAGACATTTTATGGTTTTTTTTAAACTATTTTTAATTTTTTAAAAAGTAATGCTTTTTGATAACACTCAAATGAGATTTAAAGTCATTTAAAGCAATAAAAATAACTTAAATTAAGAAGTAAAAATCATAATCTTATTTAAAAAATATAATAAGAGTAGACAGTAAGTCTCACTGAGACAGTATAAGACTACTATCTAATGTTAAAACTGTGTAATAAAATTAGTTGAATTAATAATAAAACTATTAAAAATTCTGATTCTGATCTCAGAGACTCAGACACAGTTATATATAGACTGACTGCTGAGATTATGAATTTCATGTTTAATTTCATTTAATCTGATTTCATACATTTCTTAGTATGAATCCCACTGAGACTAGTCATTAAAAAACATGTAAAGTGACTATATATAAGATCTTAAAATAAAATCATGACTTAAAAAAAAATGAGAAAGTGATCTCATTTAATTTCATTTAGTCTTATTCTTGACATAAAGTTACTATTTTTAGACATTTTAAGGTTTTTTTTAGACTATTTTTAATTTTTTAAAAAGTAATGCTTTTTGATAATACTTAAATGAGATTTAAAGTCATTTAAAGTAATAAAAATAATTTAAATTAAGAAGTGAAAATCATGATCTCATTTGAAAAATGTGACAAGAGTAGACAGTAAGTCTCACTGAGACAGTATGAAACTACTGCCTCAGTGGCTGAATGGTTAATGTGGTCACCTGGTAGCACCTTGGCATGGGAAATCAAGGCATGTGAGTTTGAAACCCGCAGAGAATACATTAAATCCGGAACTTAAGTATCTCAGGTTTTTAATAAATATAGAGATGTATAAATCACTTCAATGAATCACTCTATGTTTCTGAAATGAAAAGTTATTATTATATGTATTTAATTATCACTTCTTTATATTTTCTATGTTCTTGTTATCTTGACATGATCTTAATACCTGTATTTCCTCCTGTATAATCAACACTTAGCCTGTATTTAACATCATGCAAGAACTCATTATAAGCTCCGCTTGTATATGAGTATAATAAAAGAACAATAATAATAATAATAATAATAGTATGAAACTACTATCTAATGTTAAAACTGTGTAATGAGATCAGGTTGAATTGATAATGAAACTATTAAAAAATCTAGTTCTGGTCTCAGACACGGTCACATGATCAGTCTAGTTACATAGTCAGTTTAAAAAGCTGACTATTCTTATTTAGAATTAATACAAGCTGAGCTACAGAGCTTCTATAAGCTTATCTAATATATTATTCTTCTGTTTCAGCCTACTTATCACGTAGTAACTTAAGTGACTTACTAGTTAACTAATTAATCATAAACTTCATACAAATCATTTTCTTATGTATACAGAAAACTTGACCTTGCTAAGTGCACTACTTACTCTTATTACATAATCATGACTCTGACCTTGTATAATACAGTAATAATCAGTTGATAATTAACTTTCAATCTTTTAATTTACTTATTCATTCAGCTTATCAATCAATCAAAGCATATATAATTAATTAAATAAACAGATAAATTCATATAGAATATAAAAAGATATTTTACAGAATTTTAAAATGTATTAAGATAAAAATATTTAGTAATTAATTTTAAATTAATTTTAAATTGATTTTGAATTTATTCTGAATTGATTGTTAATTGATTATAGTAATAAAAATAGATTTAATCTATATATTTAAGTAATTAATAATTGATTGAAAATCAGTTAATAATTAATTCAGTGTAAATTATATAAATAGTTACTTCATTATTAAATTCAAGAATAATTTCAGTATTTAATTAATTTTAAATTGATTTTGAATTGATTATAAATTAATTATTAATTAATTATAGTAATAAAAATAAATTCAATCTATATATTTAAGTAATTAACAATTGATTGAAAATCAGTTAATAATTAATTCAGTGTAAATTATATAAATACTTACTTCATTATTAAATTCAAGAATAATTTCAGTATTAAATTAATTATTAATAAAATTAGTAAAGTCTTCTTCATATATAAAAGTTATAATGAGAGAAGAATTGTTTTATAATCAATTAAGAATTGATTATAGAATTGATTTTGAATTGATTGTAGAATTAATGATAAATAATTGAGTGGTTTCAAATTACAAGAAAAGATGTATTGAGCGAGGTCAGGTAGTGGCACGGGCCACATTTGCGAGGTCAGCTTACATAACGAGGTCAAGTGGCGCACTTAGCGAGGTCAAGTTTTCTGCTTCCTGCATTTTCTTCATGTCTTTGATCCCTTCCAACACTAGTGTACTGGGCCAGTTGTGTTTAATCGACCCTCAGAGCTTTAAATGATGGCATTACAAGGTTTGCTCAATCAAATCCCTATCACCTAATGAGACAATGCTAACCCCATCTTTGTTCTTGAATGGCTATTAGATTTGAAATCCATCATTCTTCACACTCGATTTAGAATAGCCCGGTCAATCTTTGGATCCCTAGGTCCAACTGTTGTTAAGGTCGGCCGGAAGCATGTTATTAAAGGGCCGTGCCAGCTCCCAGAACTTGAAGCGCTTCTCTACATCTCAGAACACACCACAATTCCCGTTCCTCGAGTGCGGTGTTCATACAATGGACCATGGATCACATTCAAGGTACCGACCTTGAAACTCTGTGGATGCGCGGCCTGAAACCCAAGGAAAAAGAAACCATTCTCAATGATATTGCAACTATCTTGACTCAACTTCGAACACTTCATCCCCCCAAAGAAGGCGTGGTTGCGTCCGCGCAGGGTGGTGCCATTCTTGATTACCGTATTGGGAGTCAACTAGTCGGCCCATTTCAGTCTCATTCCAGCTTCCACTCTTTTTTACGGGGTGGCGTTCCACTGGAAAACACAGCTCAGGTTTTTGGGGAAGATATTGCATCTTGTCATAGCAACAATTATCAGACGTTCTTCTCGCATTCAGATTTGGCCCCGCGGAATATTATCATTCGCAATGGCAGAATTGTGGGAGTTGTTGACTGGGCACTTGCAGGCCTGGTACCCAGAATATTGGGATCTAACAAAGGCATATTAC